TGATGATCATTAGCACCTGTTTGGTATAATTGGTTGACTATTATACACCTGACTATAATCCTGCAAAATCCCTGACTTTGTGCAAGTGTACCTTTGAGAATTGATGCTGTTTTGAAGGCAAAGCGTGGTCACACCAAATATTGATTTGATTTAGATTTTTCTTTTGTTCACTCACTTTGCATTTTGAAAATTGACAAAAATAAACAATCATTATTTATATGTCTGAAAGCATTCTTTGTTTACAGCATTTTTTCATGCCTGCCTAAAACTTCTGCACAGTACTGTATATACATATATAAATATGGAAGTGAATGGTACATGAAATTATATCTGGTTTGTATTTTTATACTGTCAATAGGTAAAGTCTCTTGTCCAAACCCTGTTGGGAAGTAGTCTCTTCTAGGATAGATGATTATAGTCAGTAAGCTCCACCAATATTTAAAAGTACTTCTTTGTCCATCAGTCTTGCTATTGCATCAGCCACTCTTCTTCCCTTTATTTCTAAGTGTCACCTTCCGCTCATTTAGTACAGTCACTGTCACTTCTCCACTTCACCATTGCTATTAGTCTTCTTGTAAAAATTCTATATTTTCCAAACCACTAAGAATCAACACAGTCCCAATCCAAATGTCTAATCTGTCCTTAAGAATTTTAGTAAGCACCAGTTCATGGCTTTCTCACATTCCTTTCCTCTCTGTCTGACAGTGTCAATATCCATCTTCCCAAACCTCCGCTCCCACTGCTAAATCGCCGCTGCTTTTGGGGGCCACTTCCCCCTCACCTTTGAGACTCACTTTATCTGCAGGTCGCATAAACTCAGGAGTTACGTTCTCCAATTTCCATCAATCTCCGCCAATACTTTACGCTGCCCCCTTTTTTCTTCCTACTCCATTTGATCAGTCAGGCTGTCATGGGACTCCGGATCTCCTTTGTGCCGGTTTTGAGGGGTTGCTCTTACCATAACGGGAGATTGCTTCTCTCCACGTTACCTCCAGAGTTTCCCCTTTATGCCGTCAGTACCTCCAGGATCAACTTCACTTTTATATGCCTTTAAACATGAAAAATTGGGCAAAGGGAACAGAGCTCTTTTCATTTGTTCCACACCACAGTGACGTCACCACCGGAAGTCTTTCCAGAGGAGCTTCATAGGGGAGGGACTGTTTTGCTTTTTTGGATTCTCTTGGGGGTTTGGATGTTTGGGGCTTTTGGCCCCACTGTGTGCTCTGCCTTGTGGCGGGTGGCTGCTTCATGCCTTACTGTGACAATCTCCTTAGGTGTTTAAGAGCGTAGATGGGGGGGGGGGAGATACAATAGGCAAATGAGAGAAGTTGCAGCATCTCTGCAACCTGTTGTAAGTGTGGATGGGCTGCTGAGGGTTGCAATGTCATAACAGTCTCTTTGTTCAGCACCATCGTAATATCCAATGGTGAACAAATGGTCATAAGTCGAGGATTACCTGTAGCTAGAACTGTCCTTAGGAAGTAGTATGTCACTTATCAATATTATGTACTATGAAAATTCTTTCACAGGTTTAGTTCTGTTTCATTTAACAATTCATTTGCTGGATACTTTTTTAACATTTCAATCTTCTTAATTAGCAGGTCATTATCATTAATTTAAAATATACAATGATGAAAATCCAAAGACACCCTCTATTCATTGGAGCACAAACACTGGAACAAACAACTTCGATGGGTATGCTGGCAGGAAGCTGAAAACTGCAGTCAGATGATGTCATTCTTAATAAGCAGGCACAATTTAATTACTGTCAGCCAGAATTGATGTTGTAAGTTGGCATGGACATTTACCATTTACCATCATGTTTAATGACCACCAAATGTGAACAGTCAGTGAGGGTTACCTGTATGATTTGCCCCCTTTTGACAGTTTCTTTTATAATGATCTGCCAGGGTATCTTCTTTGCCCAGTTTTTATATTGTTGCTTCCTTGCTGTAAGCATGTTTGCCATCACACAACATCCAAATAACCACTACTGTTCATTTTCATATATACATACAAGCATACCTATACACAAAATGTTTTTTGAATTCTTCCATCCTCAGCTATATAAACTGCTGAAGCAGTGTGTCCTGCTTCTGGTTTCAATTATACACTCACAATACACAGTTGCTATGGAAATTAGCAGTTTACTCAAAGTTGAGTAGATAACAGCAGACAAGGAATGCAAACAGAAATAGAGCCTCTGAAAGAAGCTTGCCTGAATAGGTTTTCTTGAATAGGAGCAGACAGGAGAATAGTCAAACTCCAAGCCAAAGTTCCAAGAGCCAGGTTGTCAGCCAATCCAGAAGTCAGAATTTCAGGAGTAGAATTTCATACAAACATCACACAAAAGCTGGAGATCAGACAGTTGATTCCAATGAGGGATAATAGGTTACCTTGTAATCAGGCCGCAGCCAGCTGCCTTTAATCAAGATATTTACTCCCTTGCTTGACAAGGAATCTCACTTAAGTCTGTACTTTGTTTTCTGCTCTCCTCACCATTGTCTGATTGCCTCAGCTATTCAGATAGCGGCTATGTTTGATCAGCCTCAGGTGACTCTTGGCTTTGTGTCTTCTGAGGCTGACATTTCATAGATTCTGCTATAGCAGCTCCTTCAAATTCAAATTCACACCCAACCATGACACAGTGCACCAATTTTCACATGTATGGTGCCATTAAAACAGTGGCAAATCCATGAAGCATCCCAATGCTGATGATTTCTGAGACATGATGCAACAAATATTCTTATGATGCCCTCATCTTACAGATAAATCAGTAGAGCTGAATTACTTCTTCCCATTCATTGATAGGCCAGATTCCATTAGGCTGGACATTGGGGGGTGAATTTTTCCAATCCCACCCTTTGACAGGAACCTTCCAGTCTTTACCATAATTGGCTTCAATATAGTGGAGGGTTTCACATGGTACATGTACCTTGAGTTCTAGAAACTCAGTCCAGCACAGGGTAAATTTGGGAAAGAAGTACCTGCAAGAAGGAAGAACAGATAAGACGGAGTAGGTAAAATGCTACCAATGAGAAGTAGGTATGTTCTTAGATTATTATGTGGCAGACTGGATATAAGTAGTATGCAAACTTAGCTTCTGCAGGTGATATATTATTATACTAAATTATTACGGAAAGTTGTTGAACAATTTATTTTAATTTTGCTGAATTATAATGACAGATCAGAGCTATTTACAGCATCGAAATGCAATCTTCAAACTCTCCAAGTCCCAAGGAAGTAAATTTTTCTCCTTTTTAACCTTTAAGCAGGTATTTTGAAGTGCATAATCATGAGAATTAGAGACATTTATGTTGTTAATAAACATAAACATTTGAATTTCAGGGCACACATTTTTTTAACCTGCTCCTGAAAGTGTTTTTAAATTTAAAAAATTTACAAAATTGTCCAAAGTATCTGCTTTGCATATGGAATTGATTAACCATAGAAACAAAATTCTTCACTAATGATCAAATTTAAATCAAGATACAATCAATTACATCTTTGGCCAAAGGAAGAAGAACTAACATGGTGCCCCAGAAATTCCACCCATCCAAAGAATATCCATTTTCCCCACAATGTCATCTCTATAGAGGAAATCAAGCTTAGTCCCAACAACTTTCTGGTTAAATGACTGGCCTTTTTCTTTCCATTTCCTCAACTTAATTTACTCAGATAATTTATTTCCCTCCAGTTTAGTTACTCACAGAGTGGATTACAATCATTCAAAAAATATTCCCTATTCTAACACAGTAAAAATGATCCAGCAACACCTATTGATACAACAAAGAACAAACAACTAAGCAACAAACACAACTGATAGTTAAACAATAACATTAGTCCTAGATAAGATTGATGATAATATGAAATGTCCAAAGTAATACGGAGAAATATTAAGTGTTATTGTTTAAAAAACGGTTCAGAAGTAGATGAATTTTCGTAGGCAAAGGGGAAGAATTACTAACAAGCCCTCATTGCTATTCAACATTCCTCTTGATTCCAGAAAGTGGGTTAGTGCGGCCCATTCCAAAAAGCTAACGTGGGAGACAATAACTTTAAATTTCCAGATGCAAAGCCAGTTGGAATCTTGCAGAGATAAATGCCAGCAATTGAATTGTTTTAACATGTTGTAGGAGGTTCTGCAAAGTACCTGCAGAAGGAGACACCGTGAAGATGCTAAATATCTTCAAAGGCGGGCTGATAAATGTGACTCAGCTTTATCTGGTCGAAATGTGTTTTGAATATTGGGTTGGTAGTTAGGCTATTGGTTTGAGCTCCAAGCTTGGCAATTTGGTTGCAAATGTTTTGTCCCCATTTGAGGAGACATCGCCAGTGCATTTTGAATTGACTCAAAACACCTCAAAACGCACGGACGATGTTCCCTCAAATGGTGATGAAATGTTTGCAACCAAATTGCCAAGCTCGAAGCTCAAGCCAATAGCTCAACTTTATCTTTCGAAGAATTTTGTTGTCCATTACTGATCTTGCCTCTGAGAAACTTCCTATTTTTTTTTATTATTTTTTTTAGTAATCAGGTCAGCTTTCTCCCAAAACCTTAAAACCCATTAGAGTGGAAGCAATTTGTTGGGTAGTAAGCTATGTAAACAGATAGTTGTTTAATAAGTAAGATTTCCCCTCCATAAATATAAACTCTGAATCATACTTAAATTTTTTGCCTGATTTGGCCTGGGTTCCTCCATTCCACATGTGGTCATCTTCTTCATAGAAGAAAAAAATATCAAGCTTCACTTCACCTTCTCCTCCCTGGAAGGAGAGCTCTAAACTATCTTCAACCTATAAAGAAAAAGGGAGTGGGGAGAAGTCAAGACACAGATAATAAAATGGGCATGCATCAAAATTAACGCTTCCTTCCCTTCCAACCCCGTAATTCTTAACTCTGGTTTCTCTTCAGACCGTATAAATCTTTCGCCTTTTACTCTGAAATCTGAATATTTCCGAGCAGTATTTTGAAAATAAAAATGTCTTAAGAATTAATAAAAAGCAGTTGAATGTAATGGATATGACCCTTTCAACTCCCCATGAAATGTAGTCAGGAAGGGGAATCACTTAAGAGTGCCAAGATTATTAATTTTATGCCCAGCCTATTAATAAATATAACAGCATTAAAGAAATGTAACAAGTCTTCAGCAGTTTTTTTTATTTCTTTTCTAAATAAGCTGAACTAGACGTTAAAGAGCAGGAAGTCTTAAATTTCTCACTGCTCAGATGCTAATAAAACTAACAGGGCTAAAAAGTCAAGAAGTACAATAATTATGATAATAGAAGCGAAAGATGTGCAAGTTAACTCTAGTCTATCTGCAAGATAAGACATTTTAATATTTACAAAATGCTGAGGGTTGCAATATTTGCCCCAATGTTTTTTTCAGAAAACATTGCTTTTGAGAGAATAACAGCTGGTGGAAAAAAATAATTTGCGAAAATTAATGCAGGGTCACTGTCTGACTGGGAGCATGTTTTGATTGAGGAAGCTTTTATGTTGTAGCACAGAATTCTTGCACAGTTTTCTGTGCTCTTTCATTTATCCTCATAATAATCCTGTGATGTAAGTCAAATCAAGATCCTGATTGCTGCTCCTAACTAATCAGCAAGCCTCAGGGATGAGAAAGGGTCCAAAACCAGATCCCACACTCCCCAGCATTCCACCCAATGCAATCTTCTAGCATAATGTTTTTCAAACTGGGCAATTTTAAGATGTGTGAACTTCAACTCCCAGAATAACTGGCTGGGGAATTTTGAGAGTTAAACTCCACACATTTTAAAGTTGTCAAGTTCCAAAAATTTTTTTCTAGTATAACCTAATTATTCATTCAATATTTAAGACACCCTGAAAAAAGAATTGGCAAGAAAGAAAAGTATGAGTCAAACATATTCCTGTATTCACCAACCTTGCCAAATTTGTGCTTTAGTGGTAATCCAGCCTTCTGAAACGCTGGAATAATATCCGGTTTGTAGTCTTGAATAAAAATCCCCAAATCCAGGTCTTTACTGTAAGGAATAATGTTGCACTGTCTGTACCAACCTAAATATACAACAGATCCATGAGAAATTTAATACACAATCATGCAGCCCCAACACAGATGGAAAAAGAGGACAATGTAATTAAATTATACCCAAAAGTTTTCTATTCTAAGCAAAGAAGGAGAATTCAATTTCTCCTATAATCATCGCTGCATTTATATGGTTGAGAAGATTTCATCCTCTTATTATCTATGAAAGAAACCGAAGGACAATTTTACTTGCCCAACCTGTTTATCCCTCAAGGCTGCTTGGTAAATACTTAAATTTAAGAGTTAACTCCCATTGTAGGTTTCAACACAAGTTTGGAAAATTCAGCTAGAACAAGTTCTAAAAAAACCAGCTACAACCTCTTTTTCATGACAAATATTTTCCAAGCTTAGGGGCCTAATTTTTGCAGGTAACTTTATTTGCGATATATGTGAATGTAATAGAAAAAATAATATTAATAAAGAGTAAAAATGTATAGTGGTGCTCAGGAGTAAACCCAGACAAGCAATCAGTAAAAGTCTCTCAACTGGCCATCTAACCTCCCTTTCCAGCATGATGGTAAAATCACAATAACTTTGTAAGTAATTCTTTCCTCATATTTTTAGTATTCTAAAATTTTTGGAAAGGAATTGTGTTGAAGACACTGTAGTTCTAAATTCCATAACTGAGCAATGTCTGTGTGAATTGTCTCAACTGAATGACATCCCCCTTCTGGGAAATATTAACGGATACATTTTCCCCCCAGTATCCTCTTGTTTTTAAAAAGTTACACAGAGAGGAACAGGGGCTTCCTTGCATCTTACTTTCCTGCAGATGAAGATACAATTGGCATTTACAATGTGGGCTATTTATTTTATTTAGCTCAGATCAGGAGGGTCAAACTTGCAGCCCACCGGCCAAATGCATCAAGTGCTAGCCATGCCCACCCTTGGTTTAGTGAAGGGGAAACAGTCACTCTACATCATGTGATGACAACATGATACTGTGAGTTTGACACTCCCGATTTAGATGAATCTCACATTAATGCATTATTTTTTAAAAAATATTTTCCTACAATACTTCCACCTACAAAAGTGGTAAATCCTTCCTAGTGTTTTTTTCGAATTTACCCCCCCCCCCGAATGTTTAAAACTTAATTATGTAAATTTATTATTGTTCATATTTCAGAATTAGTAATATTTTGGGAAGTCCATCTCTTGATTTACAGAGAAAGACCTGCATATATTTACCTGGGAGAAGGTTTTACTGAACTTCTTTTGAGCAGCTGCAAAAAACTATGGAGTTTAATTATGGACTTTCCAACTATTCTGATGTAGGATATTTTTCTTACAAATCTATACAATAGCAGAGTTGGAAGGGACCTTGGAGGTCTTCTAGTCCAACCCTCTGCCTAGGCAGGAAACCCTATACCATTTCAGACAAATGACTATCCAACATCTTCTTAAAGACTTCCAGTGTCGGGGCATTCACAACTTCTGGAGGCAAGCTGTTCCACTGATTTATTGTCCTAACTGCCAGGAAATTTCTCCTCAGTTCTAAGTTGCTTCTCTCCTTGATTAGTTTCCACCCACTGCTTTTTGTTCTACCCTCAGGTGCCTTGGAGAATAGTTTGACGTCGCTCTTCTTTGTGGCAACCCCTGAGATATTGGATCACTGCTATCATGTCACCCCCTAGTCCTTCTTTCTATTAAACTAGACATACCCAGTTCCTGCAACCATTCTTCATATGTTTTAGTCTCCAATCCCCTAATCATCTTTGTTGCTCTTCTCTGCACTCTTTCTAGAGTCTTCACATCTTTTCTACATCGTGGCGACCAAAACTGAATGCAGTATTCCAAGTGTGGCCTTACCAAGGCATTATAAAGTGGTATTAACACTTCACGTGATCTTGATTCTATCCCTCTGTTTATGCAGCCTAGAACTGTGTTGGCTTTTTTGGCAGCTGCTGCACACTGCTGGTTCATTTTTAAATGATTGTCAACGAACTCCAAAATCCCTCTCAGAGTTACTACTATTGAGCTACTACTATTTAAATGACCTTGCAGCTTCCTCTATCTTCATCATTTCACCCGAGATGTTTATGCTTTTGCAAGGTCACCCCCAAGAATTAGGCACTGTAGAGCAAATCAAATTAGGACCCAGGGCATATCCCATGGTTTATTCTATATGCAAAACAATACGATCCATAAATTAAAAGGGCTGAGAGATGAGACTGAGAAGGACATGAATGCCAAAGTTTTAATTGAACATTTAAATAGGTATATAAGATTTGACCACCAAAAAATGTGTTTGAATTAAGGAGGCATCTATAGCATGGGCAGATTTGTCCCAGGACACCTTGAATCTCCTTTTAAATCTCCTTAACGTAAACACATGATTTCCTGGAATTACACAGCTTCCATGCGAGCAAGGAAATATGTAGTTTCTTTACGGAAATGCAGGCAGATATGCTATGCATCCCGACACTGCTCCAAAGCATCTTTTTGCCTCTGGGGATGTAATACTGAATACTCTTACTTATATTTATGTAAGAATGTAATTACATGAACCAACCTAGCGTAGACCGAGCATTCTGTATTATGACTCCAAGTACTCCTAATCAACACATCTATTTAATTCATTTAAAGAGTGTGAGGTAAAGAAACTGCCTTAATGCAATATTTACCTCACTTCAATAACAGTTGGAATCTGATGTCAAGAACAATACTTATAAAATCTCCCTGCCCAAGTATCAGTGGGGTAGGAGGTCAAGGAAGGACTCTCTCGCGCATATGCTTCTGGGATCATAGTCTAAGACAGGGCTGTCAAACTTGTGGCCTGCAGGCCAGATGCGTTGTGTGCTGGCCACGACCACACCCAGTTTACTTACCAATGCTGCAGTAGAGTAGAAGGTAAGTTTTAGAGATTAAATTGGGCACGTTTTAAATGCTGTGAGTGCACAAAGCATGTGTTAAGCATGTGCACAAAGTGTGAGTGCACGCACAGAGCACACAATCACTGAACTGGTTGTTAAACCGGCTGCAGCCCACCTCTGATAATATGTCACATGCTGCCGCCATGACGACGCGAGTTTGCCACCCCTGGTCTAAGACAAGCTAACTTGCATTCACATGAATTTTGTGGTTCCATGCATTTGATGTACCTAGTTTGGTCACCCTGTCCCTCCATCTCAACTGCCAGAATTGCAGAGAATACTTCTGGCTTCCAACCCAACTGCAAGTGACTTACCTAGACAAGTCCCGCTACTCAGCCAGAATTGTACTCCTAAAGTGTTCAGTGTCAGAGCAGCAAGATGCAGCAATGCCTTGGCTTTTTTCCTGAATTCCACTGCCTCCGGGGATGTATCATCAGGGTACAGCTAGAAAAGAAAGAAAAAGGAGGAGGGACACTGTAAATCCTTTGCATATTGAAAGTCAAATGAAGGCCTTTGTAATCTGTATCTCAGCTCCCATGATCATTTTTTATTTTTCCCTACCATTATTTAGAATTCCCCCAGGAGAAATAACTAACTCTTACAAGTAAAGTGGTTGCTAAACGGGAAATTGCTTGAATTCCAATATGTCTTCAAGCTGGAAAAAGACAACAATTCTCATTTCACCCCTTCCCTTTTGTCTGATAACTGCTCCTTAGGAAGCAGTGCCTGCTTACACATCAAAAGCAATGAGATTGTACCACCCAGGGCTGCAGGCTTACTCTCTTGAAATCCCTTCCTTTTCAAACTCTCCAATCTGCAATTTTGTAACAGAAAAAAAACATACTAGTGAGGCAATGAACAGTGCATGACTATAATGACAATCACATGACTGACCGACACTACAAAGGCCATAATTGTGGTAACGTGGCCATAAAATTATTCGTTCAGCATCTCTGTAACTTCAAACGTGAGGAGTACCTGCAATGAATTCGTGTTTAAATAAAGGTCCTTATTACTTGTTCTCTTGGAAAGTGGAAGGAAGGAGCCACAAGGCAAGGTAAGGGCCCAATTCAAACTAGTGATGATAACCACAGTGGGAAGCTGACAAACAATTTAAGAATCAAACTTATGGAGCCCTATGTAACAAAATCTGATATAATATGATGTCTTTGGAATGAAATCGATTCTCTGCTTGTATTGAAGAGCATTGATGAATTTGAAAAATAGTCATTTGGACACTGACACTCCGAAATATAAACACAGATCCAAAGTCCATAAAAAAACCACCACTGCAATCAATCCAATTTTCATCTTCATTAAATAATACTCTTTGTATTCCCTTCTGCACTTGTAGTAAGACAGCTACAAACCATTACTTATACCAGTAAAGCACAACACAAAGATTAACATATATACGTACGTACGTGTGTGTGTGTGTGTATGTATATATATAAATGTATGTATGTATGTATGTACGTACGTACGTACGTACTGTTTTCAATACAATTGTTCTTTTCTATCTTCCTGCTGTGCTCAAATGATAGGAAAGTATTTCTTGTAAATCATAGAAACGGATTCTTTTATTGATAGGCCTCCTATATTCATTCTTTGGCGCCATCAAGTGTCAAAGCCACAGAGCAAATCTTACTAGGCAGTCACTAAATAGGATTAAGCATGGCAATGTGGCTGGCTGTTAGGCTGAAAAGCTGAAACACTGGTTGCCTAAAGAGGGAAGTGATTAATTGGGTAAGGATTTCAACAAAATTATGGCCAATATTAAAAAAAAACATGTAGGGAAACCAATGGAACTGTGAGTTTGAAGAGTGGCTTTCCAAACCTGGGAAAAAATGCTTTTTGAAAGAGAGGAAACAAATTACAAGTAATTCACTAGGTCCTAGACTATGTAGTAAGCGAGCCAGTTGATGTACTGATTAAGGCATCAAGCTAGAACCCAGGAGATTATGAGCTCTAGTACCACCTTAGGCACAAAGCCAGCTGGGTGACTTTGGGTCCATCATTCTCTCTGAGTCCTGGGAAGGAGGCAAAGGTAAACCAGAGATTAAGGTTGACTCAGCCTTCCATCCTTCCAAGGTGGGTAAAATGAGGAGACAGATTGTTGGGGGCAATAGGCCGACTCTGTAAACTGCTTAGAGAGGGTTGTAAAAGCACTATGAAGTGTTATATAAATCTAAGTGCTATTGCAAATTGCAAACATTATGATTGTTTGAGTTCCAAACAGTCATCAGACCAGGATCTCTGACACTTTGCAGTGAAGAGTTAAATGCAATAACAGTAAGTTTACAAACTATAGTTGGTCACTGTATTTACAGGTTGAACAAGTCCACGTAATACCATTAATTTGCTACAAATAAAAGATGTTTTAAACAATCTCTCCATTTTGAACACTTAACAAGAATTATCAAGCATTGCTATTTCAATCCCGGGGTGTGGAGGAGAAAGCTGACAATAGTAGAAACATTGCACATTTTGGAGGCAGTGCTGATATGGATATAATATCATTTTTATTAAACCAATTAATTCAAACAAGAAATGATACTAACCTGGAAGAACGCTCGAGCTTCTTTGTACCGACATTCAACAAATCGAGAGTGAGACCTTTCTTCAAGGAATTTGGATGGCTCTTTTGGAACCTGGACTATTAATCCATCAATGGAAAGAGTGAGTAATTCCATCCTGTTACAAGAAGGGGGAAGTGATGTTATCCTGACCAGGAGAATGTAATAGAAACAGAACATTTCCTTTTGAATTTGCATTAAGACAGCAAGCTAACAAATGCACAATTGTTGTTCTTTCTGACACACAATCACAACTTGCATGTTCACCAAAATGTTTTGTCCCTCTTAATCTGCTATTCTCAATCCATCCAATCCATTTAATGCACACCTAAAACAGAACCAAAACAATTGTAACAATTGGGTGGCAGAGCTGCCAATCAATGGAAGGTAACATCGGATACCACCTCCTCCTAGGTTCTATTCCTACAGGAAGAGGTAACTAGAACAGAGAAATTGGTGGGGTGAAGGCAGAAGGACAGATTTGAAGGAATCTTGGAGTCTAAGTTTGGGAATCTCTTCCTGTGTCATTGACACAAGCCCGAGAATGATTTTAGGGGCAGCGTAGGCTGCTATGTAGAGGATAAAAATAATTTTTAGAAATAAATGAACTTATTTTAAAACCCATTTTTTTGTGACTTAATAAAAGTCAATGTGTTTCTTATTCTTATATTAACCAGCTATTTGTACTATCCTCTATCTGCCCCGTATTCTTCCTGTTGGAAACTTAAAAGAATTTCTGTACTCTGAAATGGTTTTAGTGGTGTCAAGAAAAAGATAATCAAGGAAAAGATCTCCACAATATGGAGGGAGGGTAGGGTGTTTTAACAATTTATTTGAAGGCTGCCTTGAGTGGAGCCTGGTAAGATGAGAAGGCAGCATATGCAACTGGAAGGAATATAAAACAATAAGCTTTCCAGCTCATCAACTGAACGTTCTGACAAAGGACACATTTAATAGGAATGCAGGACAACAATGCTAGCACCCATATTCCATAATCACAATGTTGTTAATTAATATAATTGCCTTAATTAAGTGAATCAGATTCTTTCGTATTTTAGAAGCAGCTCATCCAAAGTAAAAGAAAAGAGATGCCCTACTTTCTTACAAGAGCACATATCTCATCACTGGGGAATTGTGATTTTTTTTTCATCTAAGATATATTGTGGGGTGGTATTGTGTCATTTTTCCTGCTTGATTTGCACTCTCCATATTCAGAGATGGTCCTTCCTTTGTTCAGAGGTTCCCATAGCTTAAAGCCACTGACATGGGATTTCTTTGAGGGTGCTGTTCTTTTGTCTGCCCTGAATCTGCTGCCAAATAATGTTGTCAGGGAATTCTCACCTCTGCCATTATATAAGGAAGGAATGTAACGGCCTCATTACCGGCGTTAATCAAAAGTACAAGTTTACTTTCTTGACACAGTTTTCACCACATTTATATTCTGAAATGTCTGAACCTTTTGGAATACAACAACAACAACAACAGCAATGGCATTATATACCCCTTCCCAGTGTTTTACAGCCCTCTCTAAGCAGTTTACAGAGTCAGCATATTGCCCCCAACAATCTGGGTCTTCATTTTACCCACCTTGGAAGGATGGAAGGCTGAGTCAACCTTGAGCCTGGTGAGAATCAATCTGCCAAATTGCAAGCATCCGGCAGTCAGCAGAAGTAGCTTGCAGTACAGCATTCTAACCACTGCGCCACCACGGCTCCAATAATAATAACAACAAAAATACTACCCTGCTGTTTCTTACTTGTTATAGGCTCCAGAATAGCGTCCAAAGTGTAGCTTTTGGAAAGGCACAAATGTCCTATCCATGTGTAGCTTCAGACGTAGCGGCCCATGCCAGAGGTAGTTGCCACTCCTCTCATAGAAGACTACTAGATGTATGGTATGAGTTGCCTGTTTGAAGATGAAGTGCAAGGGAACTTCTGTTCCAGAGAGATCCTCCATGCCTTCTAAACGTGGATCTTTACTCTGAAGTCTCAGCCACTGGAATCCCATTCTCTCAGCAGCCTGAAACAAGCCCACCTGAAAGCAACATAAAGTTTCTGTTCCGATCACCTTCATCAAGCCAGGTATCACCAAACAGTTCCTTTTAGGTTGAAATGAAAGCAAAACATGGCAGGAGAGAACCATCTCAGGGCAATTTCACCATCCTTTTCCAAGAAGCTGTTCCAGAGTAAACTTCTTTTTCATTTAAATCAAACCTTTCAAGAGAAAGTCAATAAACCACTCTGGCAGAAATGAACCTCTGTAATGGTGATGGCAAAGGTGTGTCACCTCTAAATGTTCAATTAAGAATTCTGCCGCTACTTCAACACTATGTGTTGGATTACTGCATGATTAATTTCCTCAAATGTTTCTCAGCAAATACATCACCACAGATAATTAATTTCCATGGGATGGAGGCCACATTCGGTCACCCTTGTGCAGAGAGAGCCCTCCTGGTTTTGTTAAGAGTTCTCACTGGCACTCATTTTCTTTGATCACAATATTCTTTTGGTCTGCCTGGTTTTTAAATAGCAACTCAAAGTGGTGCAGTGGAAGGAGAAGAAGTCAAATCCTGGAACACTTCAGTGGACACTCTATTTTATTTAACGTTTACATGAAACCAATGAGAGAGATCATCCAGCAGTTTAGGTCTTACTTTTCCACCTCTTCTCTACCATATAGAAAATGCAGTGGAAGACTTGACTCGGTGTTTGAAATCATGAAGGATCAAATGGGGCAAGCCACTGATATTCTAAGCAGAATTTCTTTTGATGGTGCTGTGTTTCTCCTGAAAGAGCTGGCACAGGTAATTCTGGACTTACAACCACAATGGAGCCCAAAAGTGATGTTGCTAAGCAAGACAGTTGTTAGGTAAGCTATGCCCCATTTTACGACCTTTCTTGCTGCAGGTGTTAAGTGAATCACTGCAGTTGTTAAGTTAGTAACATGGTTATTAAATAAATCCGTCTTCCCCACTGGGTTTGTTTGTCGGAAGGTTGCAAAAGGTGATCACATGACCACGGGACACTGCAACGGGCATAAACGCAAGTCAGTTCCCAATTGCCTTAATTTGGATCACCATGGGGATGCTGGAAGGATCGTAAGTGTGAAAAATGCTAATAAGTCAATTTTTTCATAACTTTGAACGGTCTCTAAACAAATGGTTGTAAGTCAAGGACCACCTGTATACAGTCTAATACGTTTCTTGGAGTTATAGGCATTTGCTGGAACAGCAGGTAGAAGCAGCAACAGAATCTGCAATCTACAGCCAGCTTTGGGGAGCCTGCCAGTGAATCAGAAAATCTTGTAAGGAGTGATTACAATGTCATCATCTCTCAGACTACAATTTACTCCACCTTCCAACTCCAGTTCCATCCTCTCCATGTGGCTCAGCTTAAAGAGCATCTAGAATTGGAATTTTACATGCTAATGGAAAAGGTGGCTGCTTACTTGCTGATTGGTGTTAGTTGTTTCAGAAGAAAAATATTTGCCTTACCAGAGCTGCTAGCAGCTGTCAGTAAGTTTCTGGTCCCAATACAAGATGCTGGTGGTTACCTATAAACCGGTTGCTCCCAGTTGTGGCCCAGATCTGCAAACCAAAACTGGCGGCGGCAGGAGGCTCCCACCTACATGCGCAGAAGCGTCGTGCACCCATGCATGAGCACGAGAGAACAGGTAGCGCCGGGATTTGCAATCAACCTCAGTATAAACCTATTCAGTTTGTATCCATGCTATCTTTAGGACATCTTCTGCAGGCGGACTCTACTCACCCTACTTCATCCAGTGTGGAGAGATTGGGAGGGGGGGGCAATCAGACAATGACATTCTCAGGAGAGCCCCTCCCTCTGGGAATAGCATCAACCTGGAAATTAGATATCCCCCCACCCCTGCCTTATGTCCTTTAGAAGAATGTCAAACTGTCCTTTTTAAAAAGGCATTCAGATGGAAGATCTTATGTAAGAAGGAATGGCACTTTTTTTTTATAAACAGCATGTAATTGTTTTATTGATTACTCAGTGTTGTTATCCTGTTTCTAATTTAGGATTTCCTTTTTGTAAGTGGTTTGGGAGTAAAAAAATGTGTGCAAGGCCTGGCTGCAACTGTCAAAAGGTAGGTAGTAGGGCAGCTTCACACACACCCCACCCTAGCTTATCCATGCACCCTGGAGTAGTGGGGTCTTAATCAGGGCTTTTGGGGGGAGGGTGGAGCTTATATTGGGCGCATGTGTAAAAATCAAGTTAGGACTTACTTTTGGAGTAGGTCATATTTATGGGGAAACACGGTAGCAGGGAGCATACAAATGTAAGCAATAAAACCCAAACAGGCATCTTTATCCTCTATATCTCTCTATTGCATCCTATTAAATGACTGCAAACTTTAGCAGAGTTACGGGAAGCTGGAAAAAAACATTTACTTCAAGTTTCCAGGTTTTGTCCAGTAGTCCAAAGGTGGTATAATCCCGTGAGGTACAGAAGTATTTGCATTCTGAGTGACTGCCATCAGAGAAGGTCTGAAGCTGCTCCAAGTCTCGGTTAATTAGTTCCAAAAGGAGAGGATCAATCAGATGCACAACTATGTTGTGGCTGGCCACCAAATTCAGAAATTTTCTCACCACATGCTGTTTTTAAAAAGGGGGGGGGGGAGAAAAAAAACATCAGGAGTAAATGTTTGCTGAAAATCTGTACCAAAATAATAATACAGATAGTCCTCAACATGCAAGCCTAAGGAAGCCTGCCCATTATGGTTGCATGTTGCAATGGTTGTAAAAAAGATCAGTAATGGGACAAATCAGATTTTACAATTTTTTTTCAATGGTTGTTAAACGAACACTGAGGTCCTGGCCGTTAAGCAAATCAATGGTTCACTATGGTGGGTTCGGTGGTGGGTTTCAATTTATTTTACTACCAGTTTGCTTGTGCATGCATGTGACGCTTATGTGCAGAAGCATCCGGGTGGGTGGGCAGAGCCTCCTGCCGCTATCACTACCGGTTTGCCTGATCCAGGGTGAACCAGCAGAAACCCACCTCTGGCACTGTTTTGCCAAAACCCAGAAGTGCCAGTTTTTGGCAAAACTGTTGTAAAATGCGGTTACGTGACAGCCAGATGCTGAAAATGGTCTTACATGCAGCCATGAGTGCCGAGCATCGAGGGATTTTATATAAATAATTATAGTTAATGTAACAACAGCTATTTTAGAATATTTGGCAAAAAATCAAAGTAAAGGGTAAAGTAAAGCTCAAATGATTCGGATAAACTTTGGTGCCAAAACCAAGCCTGGGTGCCTTTTTAGATGGGAAGGCTGCATTCAATCTCTTTCAAGGTGTTAGGTATGGTCCTTGAAGAACTATGAATGGTAGACATTACTTCCCCATAAATAAGTCACTATTGTTAAAATAAAAGTAATTTAACACAAGTTATGCAAATATTACCCTGTGTATTTAATATTCCTTTGGTAATTGTGATTTACACGTTATTTGCCTCATGCTGTTGCCTCCCTCCTTTTCATTGAGTTTCCTCTTCCACCTCTAGCAAGTTGTTTATGAAAAGTAGTAAAGTCGGATGTATTTACCCATTGATTATTGTCTTGTCCTGCTTTGCTCCCTTTAATCTTGGGGAAAACCGCTCCATTCTACCAAAACCAAACAAGAGAAATAAAGCTCTACAACTCCAGTCTCAACCGTACCATGAAATTATAATAACAAAAAACAAAGCTCCAATGCTTTTTACTACCAAGCAAGTATGCCTCAGAATAACATTTGGTATCTCTGCCTTGTATAAATCATGTGGGTTGCTTATTTTGTTTTTGCTAGCATAGTTTAAAACCTTATACACTTGTTTAGATCCGTAAATCCGGGTTTAGGATTGTTCGTAAGTAATATGATCATGAAGCGTTACCTTTGGAGACAGATAATATTTATAATAGTACAGCTGGAACAGGAGAAAGATTGAGCTGATCAAAGTAAGAAGACCCAGTACTACGTTTTTGTTAATTCTCTGCATCGGTCTTTCGAACCCTCTTGGTAATCATTAGAAAGCAGCAGTTGGTTCTTCTCATCTTTTTTAGATGGCCTACTGTGAGTTTCAAAGCTGGAAAAACATTTAAAAAAATGAATTCAGTTAGAAAGCTAATAGCTCTTTCAAAAGCAAAGCTGTTGTTCTGTTTAAATAACTATCCTACCACCCAAGTTCTGAGAGGATATTAAAAACTCATCATACAAAAGTTATTTTATTGATTCATAGCTCAATTCGATGTCATTTTATTTTGGATATGGCTCCTGTAAGTTCATGCCTGCAGCAACAATGCCTTGAAGGTGTCACTAGGCAAACTTCTCTGAGAAGGACATTCCATAAGTAAGATACCTTCTTACTAATGTTTTACCCACTTAAATTCATTTTGAGGGAAGAAAGTTATCTCAAATCATTTCTGTGAGCATGTAAAAGGAGATTCTCAACAAGAATGAACTTCGTGACCTAATAGATGGAGCATTTAGTTTAATGTTACCAATTTCAATATTCATCTTGAATCCTAAATAGGCTTGTCTTTCTAATATTCCTGAAACAGTACATCCAGTATGTCATTGTGGTTTTTCGTGACATGACTGTGATTGTGTGGTTTAAGTTTGATTATGTTTGATGCCATGGCACTATTATTATGTCATTTTTGTTTATTGGTATTATTTTTTATTGTTCCTTGGTTTTAATTCCCTGTTCATCATCTGGAGTTGAAATTATATAATATAATTCCAGATTAGAAACTTGTAAAATGAAATAGTAAAACAAATGTCTACTGAGACACCTGAATGGACAGCATATTTTCCCCAAAATAGCAGATATCTACTCAGGATCTGAAGCGTTGTAACCAGAAACAGGATCACATGAACTAAATGGGTTACAGGTGCATCAAGGCAGAATAGAATCAACCAACAAATGGAACACACTGCAAAAGTAGATTCCATTTTCCAAACTCCCTGTGCCCAGATAATCAGCTGTTTACGTAATAGTAAACAGGCTTGTGCAATCTGAGAAGCAGGTTTGACCCATGAACTGACTCTTGAATGAAGTTGAAAGTGGAGAAGCATTCCTAAAAGAGATGTTTCAGTTTCGGTCTGAGTTAGACATGCTATGGCCCAATAGTCTTTCAATAGAAGAGTGTTAACTGTTTCCTTAAAACTTCCTTAATTTACTGCCTATTACCCAATGGTGTTTGTAATATTCCTTTTTTCCCCACACATCAAACTTTTAGTTTCTTTGAAGAAAAATTCAAACCTCACAAAGTAGACTAGATTCAGGTTGTTGTTGTTTTTTCTTTACATCAACTAATAGAGGGAAAATACTGGATATGCATACTGGATTATACCTAGATTCGGGATATAGATGGGCAAATGTGACTACTACTTATTTGCATATTCATAATTTCCTGGAAGATTCCTGCTAGTGCTTGAAAGAACTTTATATAAAGAATAAGCATAACCCCGTTACTAGTGGTTGATTTGCGATTCAACCATATGCCTATGGAATGACCGATTCTCTTCCAAATATGGTTGTAGGCAAAACTAAATAAGAACTAAGGAAGCTTGATATCGGTAAGCGTCCCTGAGACTCCAGCCTTTTTGGTGAAATGTATTATCTGCCGCTTCTAAATGAAGTAAACCCTAATCGACGTTTATGATGCATTCCCTACCTCTCTTCCAACCCTGAATATTAAACACGCATGGGGAAACCCGAGTCTTCTCCAGATGCCCACGAACTACAATTCCCAGCATCCCTCGCCATTGGCTATTCTGCACCAGGACCTGGAAGCCTACCGGGTTTCTTGCTCAGGTTGAAACTGTGAAGCTTTCGGGGAGCGAAGAAAGCTGATTAACGCGAGCGTCTTAAAACGTTTATTTCCCCGTTGGGCTAACGTTTCTGGCTTATCCGTTCAAGGTTGCGTGCGGTATAAAATGAAGACTAATAATAATAATACGACGTTGATACCCTTACCTGCAAGGCGGGAGGCGAAGTGGGGGAGACCGTAAGACGCAAAGGATGGGTTTTTGCGGCACTACCCACCGTAAGGCAAGGCCACCGCGCTTTACGTCAACTGCGCCTTGCAGCGATGCCGGGCGAGTTGCGCGAAGGTAGGGAGGAGGTTCGGTGTGGTTGTGCTGTTTTGTAGTGGACGGGTCGGCTCGCAGCGGGGAATGTGGGGGAATAGCTTCATCCTGAAACAGAGGCTCTCTTGCCACTCTCCCCCCTTTAAAAATAGGTTTGGTTTAATACGCAACGCTCCCAAGTTGCAACTGGCGCTGGACGGTTCAGCTTTTTTTATTTTGCAGCTTCACGGAGAGCGGCGCCCCCTGGTGGAGACGTCGGTGCAATTGGGAGCGCTGATTTGCGCGTAAAGGAAACGGATAGGTTAAGCCAGAGGTCTTCAAACTTGGCAACTTTTAAGACTTGTGGACTTCAACTCCCAGAATGGAGAATATGCCTAATAATCTACCTAATAACATCAATTTGTTAAAGATATTCCAGCTGATAAATATCTCAATTTAGATATGTTAGGGGAAGTTTATACAGTACTATAATATACCTTTCCACTGCTTCGAGGAAATTCATGAAGTGAAATGAAATTGAGCGCAGTATCGCCATGTCATCATTAAAAAAAAAAACCTACTTGAAGATCAACATTCTTTTTTTTAAAAAAAAACACCTGCAAATAGTTGTTGTTTTTTCAAACAGCCATGCATACTTCTGGAAACTTTCTATCGCACCTCTTCGCCTTCCCAGTCCAGTCTATTCTTCCTGGTGGTCTCTTCTGCAAATCCTAACGAGACCTGGCAGCATTTAGGCAGATTTCCTTGTTCCGGAACCCACAGAGCAGCGTCAGTTGTTAGGAGTTTGTGGACTTAACCCAGGGGTCTTCAGACTTGGAAACTGGTTCATACATGTGACAGTGTCTTGGGGTCATGTGTGATCACCTTTTACGACTATGACAAGAAAATTCACTGAACTGTTACTAACCTAGCAACTGCAGTGATTCACTTAACAACTTTGGCAAGAAAAGTTCACAACAAATGTCTCACTTAGCAACAGAAATTTTGGGCTCAATTGTGATCGTAAATTCAGGACTATTGGTAGTTGCAAGATTAGGAGGATTGCCCACCTACATGATTATAAAACTAGAATGTACATCCTTCCACTGGGATTTGTCCACCTCACTCATGCTAGGAGGCGGCATACTGCAGGCCTCATCAGCCAGGTATTCCGACTGGTGGGTCCAGAGGAGCCTTCTCTGCCAGTGCACCTGCCGTTCGGAATATTTTGTGTCCCCCACCCCCAGGTCAGTTCCAATTTTGATCTTTCTAAGAGTTTAAAGACCAGATTCTACCAGTTGGCTTGGGGCTCCAGGGAAGGGGCTTCATGATGGTGATAGTTTAAACTTCTCCCCACCCGCCCTTTCCCTCCCCATCTTTTAGCTAATGTATTTTGTATTTATTTTTGTAATATTATATTACTTTATCTTTAATATTGGAGGCCACCCAGAGTTATCCTGTGACAAGACAAGTGACCAATAAATTTAATAAACTAAATTCTTCAGTGCATTACATCCATGGCCATTTTCTGTTTTGTCCATAGTGTGATTATAATCAAAGGCAGTATAACACCACATTAAAAGCTTGCTAGAAAAACCCAATTGAGCAGATTGGACTTGTTCAATTTGAGGAGAGTATGAATGAGAACCATATTTACTCACTGAAAGTCACCAATTAATTTTGGAAATTTCTATTGAAATTTATTCCAACTATCACTAAGTGGTTGGTAAACTTGCATCTGATGAAAATTGTCTCTTCAGAAAGTTACAAAGGAAAATTGGGCACTATTTTCATGTAATTTGTTAGGTTTATAGTCTGCCTTTCATTCAAGAGGCATGCATACCAGTCCCACCCCCACAACAACCAGGTAGGTTTGTCTGAGCATGTGTGGCTGGCCCATAGTTGCCCAGTGAGCTTCCGTGGCTGAGTGGACACAAACATGGATCTCCAAAGTACCAGTCTAACTTCTTCACTGCACCAAACTAGCGCTTTATGCCAGAAAAGTAATTCCATCCTTAAAGATACTGATTTCAGTAGCTCAACAATAATTTTTTAAAAAAGAGAGACTACAAGAGTGGTTTCCCAATGTTTATTAATACAAAATCCCTCCGAGATGTGATTTAAAGACACAGCAAATAAAAACACTCAATGGGCTCTAAGGCACCCAGTGTGATTGGGATGAGATTATTGTTTTTGGATCTTTCTCAAGGATTAAGACTAAAGCACCGAATGGAAGCAGAACCATCAATCCACAATATCCTTATTTAGTAATAATAATAATATGTATTCTAATCTCAGCATCTAATGCCATAAGCAACAGCAGAGATATGGAATTAGTTTGAAAAGGCACGTGCAGAACTATTTTATCAGTGGTGAAAAACGGAACAGTCAGCTTATAGGGCAAAACCTTGAATACAGTGTGCTCAATCTGTTCGATTTAGTGTCAAACGCCCCAAATGGCTAGAAGAGGTAAAGTCAACAAGTGTGAAACTATTCACAGAAGAAATGCTACTGCACCAAATTATAATTTGCATAATTCAAACGTCAGTACTCACAACATAATGATTTGCTTCAAACCTGCTCTCCTCATAAAGAATGCATATCCAGAAGCAAAGGCAGGGAACAGAGATAACAGTTCACTTTAAAAATGACTATTTCTACTTTCTCCTTAGCCAGTTATTTAAGTCTGTAATATTAAACAGAACTTCTAGCAATTGTCTTATATCATAATGCTGTAATATTTAAATAATACTAAATTAAATTCTCATCCATAATATTGTCCACGTGGCTTAGGCATTAACTTGTTGTTTTGACAATAAATTCACATTTTTTGACATTTTAATAAATCATTCAATTTTTAAGCTAGTTTACAAAATTTTGGTACTCAGATACTGAATGAAAATTCCTAATTTTCTGAATACCAAATCAGCAAAACTGATTCCCCCCCCCCATAAACTTACAAAACAAAACTATTTATAATACAAAAATACATTTTACAGTAAGCAGACAAATTATGTACATACTGGAAAAACACTATCCATTGTTATGATCTAGCATTCCATACCCAAAACACAAACTACAGTAATACTTTCATTCAACATCTGCATGCTTTTCATCAAATAGAGCTGATCAGAAGAATTATATCCTTATCTTTTCAAAGTAAAGAAAAAGTGTCTAAAGTGCTTAAAGAATCTCCTCGTGTCTTACTTTGTTAAACTGATAGGGATTACTTTGTTGAACACCATCAGAACTAAATATCCCTCAACTTTTACAGAGCTTATTTTCTTTAAACTAGAGATAAGAATCTTGTTTTTTTTAATACATTATTTTTGAGATGCATATTAAAATTTCCAAACACTCAATTTGATGGGAGTAAAATAAATTAGAAAGCAGTTGAGTTGTGGAATATTAATAGATGTCTGAATAATTGAACTGACAATGTATATCACTGCATACCTCTCAGAAATAAATGATCAATTCTACTTTTTAACAACTGCATGATTCAAATTTCCACAAGATCCAGGCTAATTTGGACCAAACTTCACCATTCCAAATGCGAATAACATTTTTGAATAATTCTTTTATTCCCCAGTAGAGTTGGCATTTGATGTTCATCCAGTTATAAGAAAAAATTTATTTCGTAAGTCAAATATGCATGTAATATATAATTGAGATTAAATACTCTAAAAAGTATCACAAATACAGGGAGTCTTGTCTATAGAATATTACATTGTAAACAATTCCTTGGTTTACATGATAAATACATATTTTTTCTACACAGCGTTAACTTGATTCAAGTTGGTTGGAAAAGGGAACCGTCAAGAAGAACCTGAGAAAAGCAACTGAACAGACGGTTCAATTGAGAAATCTGTCCCAAATTTCTAAGATTGCACATATCTATTTTTTTCAAACAGAACAATTATGAATGTGCTTTGATATAAAAAGCACTTTTCTTTACACTCTTGGGAAATTTCTTAAAAGACCCAAGAGTTTTTCAGAAAGTTTAATATAGACAGTGTATGGAGAGGGAAAGGATAAAATTTTGTAGGGCTAGAAGCAAATTTGATCATATACTCCAAGCTTCGGATAGGCCTTGACACAGAGTGGATTCTTAAAGATTCAGAAGTACTTTATAATCAAGTTCATTTTAAAGAGGCCTGATAATTGCGAACATTTACAAACATGAATGAGAATGAACACATTATAAAGAAACAAACAGAAGCTTCTCTAAAATGCATTAAGTTAAACTGATTGGTTGTAAGTATGTACAGTAGTGAAATATAGATGACATCTTTCATTCTGTAAAGTAATAAACACAAAGTACCGACATAAAATTACTTAGGATGAATAACAAAATTAAGTCTTGGAGTCTGACAATAAGAGCGCTACATTGAATGCAAGGACAATAATCAAAACAATTCATGTTCCTCCCCTTTTCTATTTGTGGACATTTTTTTCTGACTATTAAAAGACTCCCATTTTATAAGTGTTAGTGTTTAGTTCATTTTCTTATAATTTAAACCTAATTATTAGAAAACCTAGAAAGGAGAAAAGCAATGGGGTGGAGGGAAGTTATACTAAGACCATACTTGTCTTTGTTACACATCATTCAGAATTAACCATCAGTCAAGCAACCATAAGACAAGTAGTCATGTTTAGTCTAAGAGAAGCATACAACTATAACCTGAAATATTCCTTTGCCAAAGCAAAGTTTTCCTATTATACCACAATACATTCTTGCTAATACTTCAGTAGAAGCCAGTTTCAATACAAGCATTTTGCACTAGTGGTGGTCAGGCATTGGAAGTAGCAAGAATGCATTAAACTGTTCTTTGATCTTATTGTAGCTGTTAGCCAGGAACATCACTGGATAACATTGGTTAGACTACCAGTGGAACCACTCAACCCATTTTCACTTTTCTGCAGTGTTTTCACAGCTGTTGGCACTTGCAATCCCGTTGTCAATGTGAGCCCACCACACCAAACCTAAAAAATAAGATATAAAGAACAATGGGAAATTGTCCAAGCTTTCTTC